ATGAAACCATAGTTTGAAGCTTAGTGGTTTTATTTGTTTATTTACATGGTAATTTTGTCTCTGTGTATGTATATGTCACATCTGTGTGCCTGGTGCTCTCAGAAATCAGAAAAGAAAGACCATAGGATCCCCTGGAACTGGAGTTCTGGATGGTTGCAAACCACCATGGGTACTGAGAATTGAACTCAAGTCGTCCACAAAAGCAGCAAGTGCTCTTCACTGCTGAGCTATCTCTCCAACCAGATATTGAATTTTTACTGCATTAAATTCAACTTGTACAAGGAAATTATTCCATGACCTAGAGACCCCCTCACCTGCACAAGTCCTTCTAGAGGCAGATGATGACACCAGTGATATGCTCCCCTCAACAGTTGTGCCATAACTGACCCCTGACTAAGACCCCTTTTCCCGTGTGTTGTCCCTGATCCAGCTCTCCCAATCCTAACGCTGATTGAAGGCACTGGTCATGGAACCCCACATTGCTGCACCCATCATTGGGAAATTACATGGTTATGAGGAAACAACTTGCTCATTCCGAACCTCATTTTCCATAAGCAGAGCCTGTCTATAGGCTGCAGCAGAAATCACGTGACAGTGTACAGTTCTCAACCCATCTCCTCTAACTACTGAGACTCAGGCCTTCTGCAGATTTAATTTCATCCAATGGTCAATTAAGAAGCAAGAAAGTTTCTAGTTCACTAGAGATTTTCCTAAAATCCATTCCTGTTCAGACATACCGTTTCTCCAAAGAAGTCCAAAAATACACACACACAAAAAAAAGGATAGTTACCTAGGTGCACAAGACTGAGTTCAGTAACTGCTTACCAGGTGAATCTTCGTCACAGTCGGCAGGTTTGGAGGAGCTCTGGGACTGAGAGGGCCTTCTGTCTCCTCCACCGTGGCCACCTCCACTGCCTCCCCCAGAACTGCTTCCTCCTCCATGGCTGCCTCCACTTTTTCCACCATGGCTGCCCCCGCTTCCTCCTCCATAGCTGCCCCCACTTCCTCCTCCATGGCTGCCTCCACTTTTTCCACCATGGCTGCCCCCGCTTCCTTCTCCATAGCTGCCCCCACTTCCTCCCCCATAGCTGCCCCCACTTCCTCTTTGTCCTCCTTTGCCATGTCCGAAGCCAATTTGTCCAGCTCCAGAAGATTCACTGAGGATGAAGAAAAACACACAGGTACATATACAAGGATGAACCTGAACAGAATCAAGACTCATGTGCGAACTGACACATCCCAGCTGGGAGGGAGGAGTACCCTCCCCTCCCTGGAGCAGAAGGTATCCCCTTTCTCTCATTGTTACCACTCTCCTTTCCAACACTCAAAAGCCCTGAGTGCTCCCCGCAACCACACACATTTGGAATGGCATCCTCAATCAGACCCTTGCATACAAGAACTTATTCGGCAGCTTCTATTAAGAAAACTAGAAATGGAGTCAGAAGCCCAAGGACTTCTACAAGATTCCACACTGTAGAGTCTACAGAGTCACCAGGACTTACAAGTCTTGCTGGCCGCCTTCAAGGAGGTTACGGTAAGTCTCAATCTCTTTTTCCAGCCGTGTCTTGATGCCTAGCAGAATACCGTATTCCTGGTTCTGACACTCCGTTTCCGCCCGGACCTCAGAGAGCTGGGCCTCCACCTGGCTGATCTGTTCCTGGATCTGCTGGAGCTGGCCACAGTAACGGTTCTTTGTGTCTTCCAAAGCATTCTCCAAGGCCGATTTCTAGGGAGCAGGAGGAGACTTTAGGAGGGGTGTTCCAATCCTGAGGATTGTGTAAAGATATCCCGAGCCCAGCCCTGGCAGTGACCCTGGAGGAGGACTACCAACCGTGCTAAGCTGAGTCTGCAGCTCGATCTCCAACTCCTGGATGCTGTGCCGGAGCTGAGACACTTCCTTCATGTTGCTCTCCATCTCCTGGCCACTGTTTGTCACTTCTTGTTCAATCTGGGTCATCTGCAAACCAAAGGCTTAGTTAGGAACAGCTGGGAAACACTGTGCCTAGCTCACCAGGATCTTCACCTTTAAAACCAAGGCCAAGACCACGCCAAGGAAAAGCCAGTGAATTCTGGCTCCCACAAGCCAGGTTGTCCAATTCTCTAGACATCATAGACCTTTTCAGCAAGGTTTCAAGGTCTTTCATACTTCGTCCCAGAACTACCTTACTAATCCTATTTCCTTGCATACATGCAGAATGGAATGCCTTTATCTACCAGGCTCTGAGCCAAGCTTTGGAGACCTGGGGAGGAAGGGAGCAGGCATGCAACTCAGTGTACTACAGAAGATGCTATATGTCTCTATAGTCTCCCATCACATAGGATTACAGTGAGTTGTCCACTCTCTGGACAACCACTCCACAGTTGTATCTGTGTGTGACAAATGAAGAAAGATGTGTGACATCCATTGGAGGATGGAAGATAGATAGATAGATAGATAGATAGATAGATAGATAGATAGATGA